CGGCTTCGGGGACCCGGGCGGCAGCAGCGGGAGCCGCGGGCACCCCCGGCCCGGCCCCGCCAGCCGGGAGAGGGGAGGCAGAGCGGGGGTCTCCTCAGTGGCTGTGAAAGGCAGCGTGTGCTCCCCTCGGCGCAGGGTGAGGGATAACGGACCCCGGCGCCTCCCGCGCACCCGCCAAAGCCGCCTCCACCGGGTACAGGGGGCTGTTAAAGACCCCACGCAAGGCGCGGTTACTCTCAGGCTGGAGTAACTGGTGCCTGGAGACCTTCGTTCCCGGCTGAGGCTTACAGCTGTGCTGCTGGAGCACGGTGAAGGCAGTAGTAGGTACACGTGGCGTGTTGGCTGGCCATAAGCAGAGCCACGGCTGGGCAATAAGGCCTCCCTTTCATTCGTTGCACCAAGGCCTATGCCTACTGCAGAGCACAGGACCACAAACTTGGTTCCTCGCTGCCTGCGGAGAAAGCAACCCTATTTACATCAGCAGTGAAACAGAAAATGCCTATGTACCTCCTGATGCCTTACATCTACCTCCTGGTGCCTCGTGTCGCGATCGGTGATGACAAACAGCAAGAGCTACGAATGGCAAGGACAGACATGAGTCTTTCTACTCCACATTGCCTCCCCCTTTGGGGGCAAACAGCTGTAAGCAGCCTGAAAGCAGACCTGAAGGTTACCCAGGTGCTGGCTTGGGTTAGGACAGCCCACTCCTCCCCAGCTTCTGCAGCTCCACACTGAAAGCATCACCTGTGGAGGAGTAACACCTCTGTAATCAGCAAAAGATAGCAGTTTCACAAGTCTACTTGGTTTCCTCCCTTTCCTTCTCCCCTCTGCAACGGGGCTATTTGCAGAGCAGGGTCTCCAGCAAGCCAGGTTCACCCCTGGGGAGGGTCTATAGTGCATTCACTAGTGCAACTCCAGGTTCCGCCATAAATATTTAAAACTCAATTACCACTCTCAGAATGAACATTCAAAGCAGATTTTTGCATCCCACAGTGTTTCTTGTTTCAAACCTCCCTAATCAAATCACTGAGATAAGACAGAAGTGAAATAGACCAAATTTCAGCCACCAGTTTGAGTCTGGTTCCCCCCCCATGTCTGCCTCTGAAGTATTACTTGCTACCATCCCTGACCTCTCACCATGTATTTTACACCACAGGCATCATTGTAGCACACGCAGCTGACTTTCGCTTCTCTGCTGATCAGCTAGAAGGACTGTGCGAAGGATTTTGCTGCTCTCCCCTCCCCCTTCCACCGCCCAACTGACTAATCTGAAGACCAAACACCCAAGTCGCTTCTCCAGAGGCTTTCCTTAGCTGGGCAGGGAATGGGGGCCACCTGCCAACCCGTCCTCTGCTTTCAGGGATGGGCCATGATCCATGGCACCTGCCCATGAGCCACACCATCTCTCCCTGGCCACTCAAGGTTCTCCAGGTTTTGTTCAGAAAAAGCCTTTGAGATGCTGGGGATGGGGCTGCACGGTTGTTTTTACAATTTAAGGAGATCCTTACGCCAAATTCACATTTGGTACTAGTGTAACATCCTGTTTTTGAAGAGACACGCCAAGTTTGAGAGGCAGAGCTCCTTACATCCCTCTGTGTGCCAAGTCCCTACCGTTCCCGAGATCAGTCCCCCCCTTTCCTCCGTAGAAAACAAGTGGCAGCTAATGCCCACAAGCAGTGCTGTGGGACCAGATCTCCATGGACACAAGGGAGGAAAATTCATTACAAAATGGAAACAATTGTCCCCGTGACTAAGCACCGGCCTGCGCTGCTGGAAGTGGTGTCCGCCAAAGAGGCCAGGGACCACACAGATGTAGAGAAAGATAACCCGCTCCCCGAGACGGATCCTGCAAGGCGGAGCTGAAGAGCATTGGCACAATGACATTGTTAATTATACTGCCATTGTTGCTGCTGTGGTTTTATCAGTACAGCAGAGTTTAGACAGCTCAGCTGAGACCAAAACACCCCCATCCAGGTTAAGTGGGCAGCAAAGAGTTAAGTCTTTCTGCACCTGCATGCAAACACAAGGTCCTGATCCTGGGCTGGCTGGCACACAAGCTTAGATTTTAGCATCTGACTCCCTCTACTGAATGGATTAAAGTTAACGTATGTGCAGAAGCACTGCCAGAGAGATGCAGCAGGCAAAGGGAAGGGGAAAGGAAGCGTAATTACTCCCAGGAGGATCCATGGATTGCTGCTGTCGTCCCCCAGGCTCCACCTGTTATGAGAAGAGTCTTCAAATCCCTAGGGAAGAAACCTTGAAAAGGTCCCAGCAATAGGCTTGAAATGAGGGAAGGGAAATAGATTTCAGCGTCAGATTGCTCCACACGGTTTATTTTGATAAAACTCTTTTCACCAGGACGCGGATTTGTAAAAGGCAAGTTCTTTGGCACTACCTTTTTCAGCGCCTACCTGATAAAAAGAGCTTAAAAGGGCTCATCCATCGCCATGGGCATGGAAGGACAGACGAAAGGAGAGCCCCACACTCTGCCCTGCAAAGGCAGCTGTGTTCTGCTGCCCGGTGCTATTCTCTCGCCGCTTTGGTTGGATCAAGGGACCTTTCTTTTTTCCATCTAGATGTTTCTAACAATTTTTATAAACATATCATATGTAGCAGTCCATTACAGCAAATTGCTCTCGGACGTGTTCACTCAAGCACAGCTCGTACTGGTGCGGTCCTGAGGAAACATCATTTAGTGGGATAATAGCAGTAATCCCTACAAGTGCTGGGATAGCACTGGGATATCATGACAAAGGTAACTACCCTCTGGTTTCTCCGTTATGATCACCTGAGGGACCTCTAATGGCAATATATTTGTAAGACCTCAGCGTCAACTTTCAGCTCCATGCGCAAGTCACCAAATAACCATAAAACAGAATTGGAGCTTCCGAGCATTTTAAAAATAATCAGCACATGGGGGATCCATTCCTTTTCATTTCTGAGCCCACAGTGGAGATTTAAATCATATTTCCGAGATTTATTCTGTTACTAAAAGGCCTAAGAACATTTTTTGCCTAGTTTCCTACAGAAACAAAGTTTATATCATTACTCTGTCTGTGTATCTTCCTGTCTTCCTGTTTTCCTTCAGCAGTGTTTGAAACTGTTGGCTGAGCTGTCAGAGGAGGAGAAAGCAGGGACAGCAATGTCCTTACTTTTTTTTTTTTCTTTCTTTTTTAAATCATGGGGCAGAGGAAATGAACTTCTTTGACACCCCCCCCCACAAGCAAGAGGCAGGGGGAGCTCAGCTCTTCTCCATTCAGTCCCACAGCCAGCAAGTGAGCACGTGTACATGAGACAGCGTAATATCCCCTGTTCACATAACATCTTTCAATGGAAAAAAGAAAAATTAAGACTTCTACAGTCTCAGACCTATGGTCTAATGGGTCTAATGGGAAAAAAATTACATTAACTGTTAAAATCACTACTGAATCAGGGCCTGTCAAACCTCACGCCGTGCACAAAAGCTTCACTGAAGGCTGTTGCCTAAAATGCAAGGCAAAAGTACAGCCCATTGAGATTAAAAAGGCATCTATTGGTGGAAACAGGTTCAGGCCCCACTTATCACAGGTAATTGTCACTCCTCATATTGATACCTTGTGATAAAATTATGATGAACATTTTGGCTCATTGAGATTTGACAGGCTCGTACACATTCCCTTGTTCTCTTCCATAAAACACTGCTTTATTGCATGCTTTAGAATATTCATCAGAGTGAGTATTTTTACAGATTGCTAACCTGAAAATGGGCACGTAAAAAAGCCATGTATTTGTGGTAACTCAGCTTAATGAATTGCCTCAAACCCCAGTCTCTTCTCTTTCAAAAAAAAAAGTAATCTCTAGTTGAGAGGAAAGCCTTCACCCCTGTGCTAACATTAAAGGCTTCAAGCAGGACAAGATGGCAAGAACAACCAATTCTGTATTCACCTGTATGCCGTTCAGCGCACTGTTTGTCCTTGGATTGGGTACAGAAATTTGACCAATAATTTTCTCCTATGATACTTTGTAAATGCTCACCTATTAACTACAACCTTAAAAATGAAGGTGCATTGGCATCTTTAGGTACAAAATGTAGGGAAGTTGCTCCTTCAGTGCTGGCCAGCTGCTTTTACAACCCAAGGGGAGATGTCTCAGGCGGTGATTCAGAGCAGAAATCCGCCTCAGATACTCTGAGTCACCTTCTGCCTGAACTAATCTCCCTCCACCGACAAGATACAGGGGGAAAAAAGCTTCCTGCACTGAAGTTTAGTGCCCAAAGATAGGAAACGCAAATACGCCCCTGAGGGAGAGCATTTGGGCGTGCTGATACATCTCCTTTCCTCTCTTAAAGTGATGGCCCAGCCTAAACCAGTCTCAAGAGAGCCACCTCAGAGGAGCCACAAACCTTGTGTCCCACCTATGGCACTGCCTCACCGCTGGCCCCTGGGTAGCCTGTGCAGATGGGCCTCAGATGGGCCAACCTGGCACCCCGGCCACCAGCCCACCTTGGCACAGCATGGCCTAGGTGGGAAGGGACCTCTGGACATCCTCCTTTCCAGCCCCCTGGTTGAGGGTCAGCAACAGCACAGCGATCTCCTGCTGGGTTTTAAATGTTTACTGCCAGTGCAGAGTGCTGGATAAACACACCAGGGGTGCTAGCACAGAGGTTACTGTCTGTAGAGCCCTGGATATTGTCTCTGCTGCTGCAGTTGTCAAGAAATGAAAGAGGGAAACAAAAGTATTTATGAGCTCTGGCAATTATCTGCTGATAATTATGTCCCTTACCCCATCACCAGGCAATGTTTAGAAAAATACACTGATATGAATCAAATCTTGGTTTTTTTACCATACGT